ATAAAAATCATTATTAGTGATTATCACTATATCATGTGCACTATGTTTGTAAATTGACTGATGTGATACACCCCAATGTTGCACCTCTGATTTAGATAATAACAACGTACCGCGTGTATACACGTAATAAACAATATACTTCGAGGTATATCATATAATTCTGTTCCTTTATTTAATGATACTACGTAGAAATTATGAAACCCATTTTTTTTTCACTTTATAAATCATTACTAACTAACTAGAAACTTATTATTATCAATAATTTTTTTTCACTTTATAATTCATAATCATCTTGCCTAATATTAATTGTCATAATGAACTTCGTAATTAAATTTTATTGCATGATTTTAGTTCTTATTCTAAATGTTTACTTAGCAATCGCTGTATCTATTAAATTAACAAGTAAGTAATTGTATTAATTTATTTTTTTATAATAATTTATTCTTAAATGACATAAACTTTGTTGTAATAATTTTAAATTTATTATTAGACGTTCCTTCAGATCTTTCAGTTTTAGGAAGTCATTTCTCACGCCCAATTCTAGAGTCTTTTGCGAGCACGCAAGTTAGTGACAATCCTGACGCTTCTAATTTCATTGAACACTTAAAGTCAAAAAGTTTCCTCGCCTATAATCAAAAATTCTATGATATTATTGGAAAGAATCCTAAATTGGAAGAGATTGCTAGTGCCGATTATTCCTTCGCACATGAAGGTGGTGCATATATAGCAGAACTTAATGAATTATTTTTCTCTTCAAATCGCTTAGATAACAACACAATAATAGAAATAAATAAGATTAACCTTTCGACTAAAAAAGTATCAACTGTCACTCCGAAAGACCCAATCCTTTTCGCTAATGGCATGTGCTCCTATAAGGGCAAAGTTATTATTTGCTCTCAAGGCGAAAAAGATATTGGTGGATCGATTGTTTCTCTTGATCCCATTTCCAATAAAGTTACCACTATAGTTGACAACTTTTTTGGTTTAAAATTTAACAGTCCCAATGACGTTATCGTCTCTAAAGATGGTTCTTATTGGTTTACAGACCCAAGCTATGGTTCTGAGCAAGAATTTCGTGATGCCCCACAACTTGGTAATAACGTTTATCGTTTTAATCCTAAAACCGGAAATATTCGCGTAGTAGCAGATGGTTTCATTAAACCAAATGGTATAGCTTTTTCTCCGGATGAGAAAACATTATACATAACTGACACTGGATTTTTTAATGGTACCGGCGGGTTCGATCCTAAGAGACCACATGCTATTTATGCATTCGACGTAGATGGTAGCATTCTATCTAATCGTAGATTAATTGCTGTGTCTGATGTGGGCATTCCTGATGGCATAAAGCTTGATTATGAAGGCAATCTATATGTTGGATGCGGTGATGGTGTTCAGGTGTTTGATAAATCTGGTACGTTGCTTGGTAAGATTGTCATACCAAAAGGTGTTGCTAATCTTGCTCTCGTCAAGTCTACATTGATTGCCTTTGCGGAAACTACCATTTATTCTGTGAAATTGAAAGTAAAAGGTGCATTGTATAACTAATAAGAACAAAAAAAATATACTTTGCCCTGATTAAAAGATAGTGAAAACTTGTGATCGAACATTATTCTCATGCGAGTTATTGTTTATTTAAGTAATTTAACTGGAAGTTTTATACTAGTTACTATATTTGCAATTTGTCTATTTAAATTTTTTAATTAGATACTAAAAGAAATACCCACATATAGCTACGTATAAGTATAGATTCAATCACAAATAAATAATAATAGTAATAATTTTTAATCAAAAATTATCTAAGGCCATACAAACTTGTATTTTTGGTTCTCATAACCGGCCGGGTCACCAAGTCGAAAATAAAAAATTTCAATTTTTAGGCACAATAAAAATTGACCAATCAAAATTGGCTATATGTACTGCGATTTACTTATTTGCGCCGGTGATACAAACCAAAAAAGGAAAAAAACAAAAAATATCCTTTTTTATTGGCACA